ATTTCCAAGGGGGAGAGACGTTATAAACAATCACCCCGACCGTTTCCTCGGGCAAACTTTTCTGCTACCCTCCCCATCGACGCGCGGTCTTCAAGACGGATTTATCTTCTCTAATGGATCCGACCCCGCTGAAACCGCGAAATTTTGGTATTAACCCTTTGAGGTCTGACTCCGGAGTATTCTTAGCTGAAACGTTTTCCCTTGGCAACCGGATGCCTGAGAGACTTCGATTCTTGGTTTACACGTTTTTTTTTTATCTGGTGGAATAGAACTCGAGGTAGGCTCGCCTCTGTTTTTTAAAGATTACTTTTCATGTAAACAGGAATATTTTAATTGGTTCGATTATTCTGATTTTACTCGAGTGGTTATCGCAAGACGTTAAGATTAAAGTAATTTAACGATTAATTGTGTATAGAATAAAGTATGCTCGGAATTTATGGAGAGTTTAAAAATTGTTGATGCTTTTAGATTATTGATAAAATGCCTGAAATGAAGGAAATGGAATGAAAGAATCGATTTGTCTAGCGTCTAAAGTAGAAACGCATTTTGAGAGCTGCTGCTGTCTTGGAAGAGTGAAATTATTAATACTGCGCTTGAATTTATGCTACGATCCCGATTAAATTATTATTCGTGTGGTTGAATTCATTCTACGATCGTGCCACTTCGTCGTCTGGTTATACGTTATACACTTTGTTTCGCTCCCAGACGGAAGAATGTAGCCACTTGTTCGAACCACTTAAACAGAAGGGACCTTTTTTTCGTTTTATACAAACTGAAGTGCGGACCTCCGGGGTCTCTGTTTATATTCAGCCATGATTCAAAGCAGGAAATATTTACTTAAGCCTTTCCACATTGAATAAGTGTGCCTCTGGTATTTCACCGGTCACAACAGAAATGTTACGTGTTGAATAAATTCATCCATAAAAAAACAAGCGGAATTTACTTCCTTAAAAAAACATAACCCTACATAAATAATGATTTTCAAATAAATAAAATCTTTTCAATTACAAATTTTAAATATAATAACAATAATTACTTACTATAATCCTCAGTTTGTAAATCCTGGATCCAAATTCCCTCGGCGTAGATTACAGTAACCGCTGGATCACCGATGAACGAATCAATAGAAACCGACAACTTCCGGGGATCAGGGGGAACTGTCAGGTGCCAAGAAGAAACGCAAGGAACTTAAATAATAATAAAGTATATTAAAAATCGTATACAATTTTGATTTCAGTATATATATATATTTATATATATTTATATAACGATATGATCATCGGTCGTCGATTACTCGTTAACTACTATGGCAACGTAATGAAGGTTGTACAAAAGACGATCTCGAGGATCTTTGTGTTCACATGGGATGGAGGTGGTGGATCAGGGACCGTAAAAGCCAAACGAGAAAAACGTACAAAACAAAGAAAAAGAAAAACCAAATTGTAGACGTGTTAGTTCCGAAAACACCCGCGACAACTTTTCCCGCCTTGTCAAAGAAGATCGAGTCCCCGCAGAAGAAAACCAGAAGTAAACAACGTCTCTGAAAAAGAACCGGTCGTCGAGAACGTGTGGATGATGAAATCCCGGTACACACTCGTTACACACAGTATTTCCAATTTTATTGACAATCATCGTGACAAAAAGTGGCTTACAAATACTCATTATAAACTCCTCACCGTCTCTTGGTTTCTCTCTCTCTCTCTAACGTCGCGTTCGCAATCCTCGATCTGTTTCACGAGCCACTCTCTCGCGCGAGACCACGGCGTCACCGTACTCTCTCTCTCTCTCTCTCTCTCTCTCTCTCTCTCTCTCTCTCTATCTCTCTCTCTCTCTCTTCACTTTTTACCGATCCCCGTTTTTTCTACCCTCGTGGGATCGTCAATCGTTCGGGCCAACGAACGCGACACATTGTCCGTTTTCGCTCGGCAAACGGCCCCTCTGGCGCGTGATATGTGACACTAAAAAAAGGTTCCTTTTTACTTCTCACTACTTTACAACATTACACGTGTACGTTTTTCGTTTGGCAGGGGTTCCCCGTACCCGGGTATACTTCTTTTTTTATTTTCCTTCTCTTACCCGTCCGTTTTTCTTTTCTTTAAGTTCGCTTGAGGCAGTTATCGTTTCTCAGTCCCTTTTCGTCGTTCCATTCCTTCCACCCCCCCCCTTCCACCCGTTTCCCACCTGCCCAACGGCGTGTCCGCGAGCAACGATCGCGTGACCTGTTGAAATTTCAACGACGACGCTCGAAAAAAGCAACGAGGAGCAACGCGCGATGGAACACTCGTTTTCTACCCGCTTCGTCGTCGAATTCTGGCTTGGTCTGCCGCGCACGATTCTCCCCTGGAACGGACTTGTATGTATGTACTCTCTCGATCGAGGAAACGATTCTGTTCGTCCGTTCTGACCACGCGGTTGATTCGAAAAATCGTGAGAGATATCGATATCGTTGGCGAAACTTTCGCGATGTATATATATATATATATATTTATATTTGTATGTATTTATATATAGGCGTACTTAAATATGTATATATTTATATACATATTTATGTGTATATATATATATATATACAGACATATATATATTTACGTACTTCGACGATTCACTCGTTCATGCGTGCAGTCGACGTTTTGCACTCTGTCAACAGCTACTTCTAGATTGCGCGGACCATTTTTTTTCACTCGGTTGCCTTTTTACCTATGACACTCGGGGTATATACACTGAATTCTTTGTTTTTCTACGAAGTGCGTGTGTGTGTACGGATGTATGCGGGTTTCTATGTGTAGTTCGAGTCATTGTGCGCGTGAACACGACTTGAGTAGCCCTTATGTCGAAGACGAGCAATAATTTTATGAGTGAAAGTAATTAGGGGGTGAAAAATTTCTTGGTTGTTTATTTTTTTAAGTATTCATAAGACTTCTTATCACGAAAGGGGAATTCAAAATTTCGGAGTTAAAACAGTGGAATGAAACGACATTCTATTTTGAAGGAACAATTATTTCACGAATGAATTGTTATAAAATCTTGCCCATCTTTGTCGGCGGGTAACAGTCATGCGAGGTACAAAACACAGGTGTCGTTTAGAGTCTCTGGCTTCTATACACTTTTGAATGCTACGGTTCGAAACGCGTACAATACGAGTATGTAATATATAAAACGTTCAAGGGTCGATTCGTTCGGCGGTAAAAAATTTTCCAACATGTAAAATTACGTCGTTGCTAACGTACGTGTGTATAACGTACATATATATAATATATCACGCTCCGTATGGACGCGTACACTTCGCGTGAGAGATTCGTGAATGTGCAGGTGAATATGGCTTCTGCTACAAGAAATGTTTTACACATTAAGGTTAAACATTTAAAAGAAAAATTGAACTAAAATGAAAAACTTAGAAGTTCCTAGTTTTATCTAATAGATCCTTTTAAAATTCTCGTTTTTATAAATTGCCGTATAAAAAAGACGTGAATTTTTATAAATACCCGCTGATCTGCCGAATGCATTCTGCGCTATATTTTTTTTTAATGGAAAATGAACGTTAGGAATGAGGTAGAAAGCCATATTCTCCTCAATTCGTTCGAATCAATGACACGAAGCACACGGAATTCGATCCACGCGTTCCTTCGTCCGTGGCAAGACTAGCGGCTCCTTCGAAGAGGTGTTTCGGATCTCTAACCGACATCCTCGTCCCGTAATCGAGTAGATCTATCGTTTTCCTTTTTTTTTACACCGTGACAGGGTCCTTGGAGGGACGACAGACTTTTCTCGAAAGATTCGTGGCGGATTCAAGGCTCCACGGACTACGGTCGAGCAAGTGTAAAAAAGAACGCGCGTCCACCCACCGCGACTGTGACGTGCTTGTACACACACCACCTCGGTGGATCACGCGGCCCGATCGGTAAATCGTTTTTCGACGATCGTACCTCACCTTTTTATTTACAGCGTTTTCACCTAACACCTAAGAGTAATATTTACAGTTACGTCGCCTCCTTTCTCTCTCGACATCGTTGCGCTATACAATTTGCTCGTCGTGCATCGACGATCGACGACGGTGATCCGGCCTTCGAGATCTCGCAGAGGGAAGACAAAATCGTGGCCCTCGCGAGAAAATCGTGACACGCTCGTTTCTTCGACTAGCGACGGTATGAAATTATAAAAAAGGGGAATATTATACTCTTGGAACGCCGGACCACCGTCGTCTTCGTTACGAGTCTAAAAAAATAATAATAAAGAAACAGAAACAGTCGTGTTTTACACCTATGCTCAAGTTACGGCTAAGTTAGATAAATAGACGAGACGATACACGTTAGACGGACATGCGGACTGTACGGAGCTCCGCTACGGTATATTTATATATTTATATATAGATAAGTAAGAAAGAGTAGAGATAGATACGAGTAAGAGAACTCACACGTCCATTCGCGCACCCATTCGCTCTGTCACCACTTGCAATCGGCGAACTACTTCACATCTCGCTACTGCGCAGCCTCGAGCACGCTATCCTTCTAACCTCACCCACATTGTCCTCGCGTATATTCACTTTCCTGAACTCTCGAATACAAGTTCATCCACTATTTTTACCGATCACAGAAACATTTTCACCGGTAAGTCCGTCGATGGAAAAACACTACCGTCGAGGTCGTTGATCCGTTCACCGCACCGTGACACGTTGCGTTCAAGGTGAAAAGCTAAAGACTAAAAATGTAGGAATCGCTGCTCGAGGCTCCCGGATAAAGACACGTACGGGCTAATACGTATATCGGGTAATCGAGAAGCACCGATCCGCGAGTCATCGACACTGCTCGGGAAGGGATGCTCCAAGAGATGCCAGGCTCCGTCATGGAGAATTTCCGTTCCTCTAGAAGCTAGATTCGAAGATCGACCTTAGACTTCGGTCGCCTGCGTGTACGAAGGCGCCAGTCCGTGGGCCGGTGTGAGTGGGCCCGTGGTCGACGCCAGCGACCTCCTCGAGTATATCGTGGCTGCCGAGTGGGGCGTGTGCGGCGCCGTATGTGGCGCCGTGTGCGGCGTGTGCCTGCGCGACGAGGCCGAGGCGAAGGGCTAAATGGGCCCGTAGTTGCTAAGGGCGGAAGGCCGCTCCTGTTGCTGCACCGACTGTTGCTGTTGTTGCTGTTGCTGATCGCAGCCCGCGGTGTTCATGTCGCCCCCCGCCGACTGGTGACGTCATACGTGCGACAGAGGTGGTTGCTTGAGAACGTGATGATGAAGATGGTGTTGAGACGCGCTGGCCACGCTGCCAGGCGGCAACAACGCGCTTCCTGGTCCCGGAGCGGGTGGATACGGGACTCCGACACGTCCTACGACGCCCTTGATGCTGGTGCTGCCGATGCCGCCGCTTACGCCTGTCACGCCAGCTACCATACCGCCGCCACCGCCTCCGTGACCGCCTCCGCCGTTCCCGCCGAACAAACGCCTCCATAGGCGTTTCCACGAGTCGACGGTTTTGCCGCTCCAGATCCACACGCCGGACGTGATACCGACCGCGAGCGCCATAAAGTACTTGAGCATCAGGACGGAGTACAGAGGCCTTGACCTTGTCAGACACGGACAGGCCAACGAAGCGAGCCATTCGTGTCTTAACGCTGTCTCGTACATGTGACAGGCGAGCACCACTCCGGCTGGTAGGGTGTACAGAACGCTGAACACGCCGATGCGTATCATCAGCTTCTCGAGCTTGTCCGCTTTCGCTCCCGGTTGTCTCTTGATCACCGATCGTATACGAAACAGACTGACGAATCCTGCCAGTAGAAAGCTTGTTCCTAGTAGAAGGTAGACGAAGAGAGGTACTAGGATGAAGGATCGAATGCCATCGGGAGCTACCGTACAGACTCCCGCGACTGGATCCCCTGCTACTCCGCCAGCCACGTAGGCTGATACTGTTTGAACCGTTGGCGCCAACCAGGCCGCCAGATGGAAGTATTGGGAGTACGAGGCGATCGCCTCGTTGCCCCATTTCAGTCCCGCAGCCAGGAACCACGTGAACGCCAGGATCACCCACCAGACGGAGGAGGCCATTCCGAAGAAGTAGATCATCAGGAAGACCGTGACGCAAGCGCCTGGACCTTGTGCTCCGGATTTCAACGCTGGCCCGTCGCAGGCGATTTCCTCGTGGCCGAACACGCTCCTCGACAGGTAGCCCACCGACACCACGAAGTAGCATGCCGAGAGGAATACGATCGGTCTCTCAGGATACTTGAAACGCTGGGTGTCGATCAGGAACGTGGTGACGGTCACGAGCGTGCTTGCGGCGCACAGGCCGCTCCACAGTGCCAGCCACACGGCCGCGAACCCTCGCTCTTCGGGGGTGAGAAACGCCCCGTGACACGGAAGGGCGCAGTTCTGTACTCCGGCAATGTCCTGTATGATGTTCCGAGCGATGTTTATCGGCGGTGCCGGTATGCCCCCACTTACGGCCATGCCGGCCAGACCAGCCCCGTTGCCGATGCTGCCGGTGCTGCTGCCGCTTATCAGGCCCGGTAGCACCGTGCCCCCCGCCCCCAGGGGTACGAGGGGTGCTCTGCACCGGCACGCGCACTCCCTCGCCCTTTCCCCCGGGGGATGCTGGCAGTTTTTTTGATTCTTGCCCGGCTTGCATCGCGGTGGTTGGGTCGTCTTCGACGGCCTCGTTGGACGTGGTGGTGCCGCTGCTGGTAGCGGAGCGCTGCTCGCCGATCCTCCGTTCCCGGATCCTGGACCGGCGCTGCTCGTACGATTGTCTTGCTCCATGCAAAGATTTTCTGGATCACCGTGTGTCGGTAATCTCTCGCAGGCCATACGTTCTGGCCAGGAGAATCCGTACTGTTGCATCAACGGCGCGCAACCAGCTCTGGCTCTTTCGCAGACACTTCGACAGGCTGGCAACGGTTTCGTGTACTCTGGTAAACAGATCGGTGTGTACATGGAGCACAGAAAGAATTTTAAATCCGGCGAACACTTGATCTCGACCAGAGGCCAGAACTGATGCACCTCCATTCCAGCTTCTTCTTGCGTATCGTGGTTCAGCTCGTTCGGCATCGCGGTCAAATTGTACCCGATACCACGGCACATCGGGATTGTGATCTCCTCGCATCTGCCGTTCCCATTAGCAGCCCCACCGCTCAAAGACGAATGACCACCACCCCCACCGCCGCCTCCACCGTTGCTGCTACCGCCACCGCCGACGTTGCCACCAGCTACCATGTTGCCGCCAGGTCCAACCATACCCCCCGAACTCGAGCCACTTCCAGGCACTACACCCACCATCAACGAGGACGAGGCAGACGACGACGACGACGACGATGAACAACGCTACTCACTGGACTGATCGCTGATTCTAATCGGGCGTTCGGCAATGCCGCGAGCAACAACACTGGCAACAGGGACGTCATCGTCCGGCTTGGCAGCAGCTTCGTCCGTCGAACCAGTCCACCCATTGTGAATGACGCTTGACTTACTCTTGCGTGGATCGCATCCCTACGGCCTGAAACAAGAATGGGACACAGTTTTGTTAGAATAGTTCGTTTACATGATTGTGTTCTTTTTTAATTATTTTTTAAACAAAATTTTTTAATTGAATTGTAAAAAAAAACGAAGAAATATACATTAGTGATTTCCGGACACCTTTTTGCCCCATGTAAATGGAATTTTAAAAAATCCTGAAATTACTTCCGAGGCATTTGTATAAATAGTATTTTTCAGTAAAAAGCAGTAGGATATCTCATCAGGACTAAGAGATAATGAAGATTCTCAAAAAATACATTTTACCCCTTTTCACCCCTTTAGGGGTAGAATTTCGAAAAATCTTTCTTAGTGGATGCTTGCGTCTTAAGGGAAAACTACTCATAAAATTGTGTTTTTTTTTTTTCGATTCAGCGGTTTGGGATGTGCGTTGATTAATCAGTCAGTTAATCAGAACTTCTTTTACACATACAGATTAGAACGATAGTTCCTTTCGTGCAACTAATAAGTATTATGTATCTGAAATCGTACAAAGTTCCGTAACTCCGCTCATTCAGGTGTACAAACATTACTTTCATGCTTTGCACCTTCGATGTACGCACACATAGTCCGCGAGTGAAAGTTTTTAAACGGGTTTCCATAACGATTACAGGTAGCTACTGAAACATGGTGCTACGCATCGTGAATGCCCTCCAACCAAAAAAAAAAAAAAATGAAGAACGTGAAATGTGTTATTACAAGATCGAAGAGGGTTGAAAATAAAAGGGGTTGCAAACACAAGACACGAGACGTGTAGTCTCCAGGTGACATTCAACCCGACAGAAATACGTCAACCGGAAGTAGAAAACGGAAAAAATGGCGTCTAGTCCTGGTTTAACCAGGCAAGCCCTCTTCAATCCTTCCCAGTTCCGAATTAGGACGTGTCCGTTTCTCCTGATCCTTTCCTTGCGCGTGTCAATCTCCGTTCCGGAGCCACACACGTAGCTCCTGTCCTCTCGCACGGGCACGGAGAGCAGCAACGCTGGCTGGCATCTTATAAATAGCGTCGGGAGCGCGTGTCGGGGTGTTAGCAGTTAACAAACGGTAAAACTAACACCGCCTCCTACAATAACATTTCGCCCCGGTCACGTGTTTTCCACTGGCTCGACTATTATAAGATCCACGGACTGTCGTGTCTCGTGCCTTCGACCCTCCTCCTCGTCCGCCACCCCCTTTTTCGCCTTCCTGTCGTCTCGTATTCGCTCGTCACGTCGTGTCTGCCTCCGGCGCACCCCTTCCTTCTTCTCTGCTGAATTCCTCCACCATTTCCTGCGATATCTCGAGGCATCCCGTGCCAATCGTACCCTCTACATTTGCCCTTCTCCGCAAGAGATCTAGCCGACGATCTAGGGGCCGAGGCTGATTTATGCGCCAGCCGCATGAACCGTGCTCGCCCTTGTTCGTTAAGGTCGCTAGACGGGCCCGGTTGGTCTTTCGGCGGGCCACTTAACGAATAAACGAGCGAATCGAGATATTCGGTCGGCGGGTGGTTATGCAAATACACCGACGGGGCCCGGAGATCCTCGGGACCGGGGTTATATAATGGCGATGCTAGTTTGGCGGACGGTTCTTCTCTCCTTTTTTTCGCCGTGCAACCATCGGCCCCCAGGCTTAATTAGGACCACCGTACAAGCGAGCTACGCTACGATTTGAACACGTTCTTGTTCCCCTCGGCGTGGCAGTGTATGAAGGAATGATTGTATTCGGGCGATGGTTGATGATGCGGCGAGATAGATGACACCCAGGGGAGAAATTCGGATTCTTTTGACTGACCGTTTATTTCCGTTGATTTTTCTGCTTCTAGGGGATGAGATTCCACGTGTGAATTACTCCATTGTTTCTTCGGTGTTCAATCTGAGATTTGCTTTACGTTATTTTGGTATTTATCGAGTGAAAATCATTTTTGTTTGATTTTTGTCTCAGTGATGTCTACACTAACCCCCTAATGTAGACTTGAATACTCGACGGACTTATGCCAGGAGTGGGTAAGTTCTTAAATAAAAGTATAATACTTTTCATACATTTTTAAATGTTCAAAATCCACAGAAATAAAATTTTCTAATATTCGTACATACTATACTACTATAGATTATTCATATAAAAGTTTAAGAAACATGGCAATGAAACCCAATATTGTCTGAAGAGCCGCACTGACTTTTAATGAGATTTAGCACAGTGATAGAGCTCGGAATTCTGAAGCCAATGCAGATGCCATTAGCTTATGAAATATTTAATATACAGTACTGAGTAGCCTTCGAACACTCGTCGACGAGTTACTGTACTACGCAAAGATTGTAAGTTTCCGAATCAAATTACCTGTACCCCCTCCAGTCACCCGAATTGCAATGATTACCTAAAACTCGATCACATCCACAAGACTATCACGTGGGTAATAAAGAAGACGAAGGAAACACATCGAGACATAGTGAGACACAGCAATAAGACCAACGACTCGTAACTTACGATCTCGGCACAGTACACACCTGAAATCCCAATGCATTCAAAGCATTCCCCGAAACAATAGCGGCTTCAGAATCGCGATCGAACGCAGAACTCACCAGCGACGAAGTCTCGAAGAGATCGAGGTAGCTTGAAAGGCCCGGCGGAGTCGGGAGAGCCGGCGATCCGCAAGTGGAGAATTCGATATTCATGGCCTACGGCTGGTAACCGTCTGAATGTCGGGGTTTTAATCGATCTCTCGTTGGCCGTCACCGAGTACGTCTGGGGTCATCAGGATCCATCCAAGGGTGGAACCATCCACCCCGTGTGCTTCGTACCCGGTATATTCGGAAACACGTGACTCATTCGCGCGTCCCCTCACTCTGGATTTACGCGAAGCTCGTGGGACGCGTGTGTCGGCCAAAGGTGCACCACCTTTCGGTTAATCGACACGTGGCTAATGGTTCCAGTATTTTTCTTCCGTGCCGGCGGCCATTCCGATTCCCCCTCGACCGCCGAGGTTCGAGCATCATCCCCCATCCGGTGAACTCCACGCTCTGCCATGATTCGAATTTCTTCGTTAGGGGTTTCGAGTTGACTTTGTTCGGCATAGTCTGATGGCCCGTGAGATTCTACGGGCTTTCACGGCTCTGGGCTATTGTAGTCGAAGCTGATGGGGTGTGAACTGGATATATTGTTGCATCGTAATCATTGCGACACATTCGAGCGGCAACGCTTCCGAGAGCTGTTCCCGTGCGGTGCCATTTCATGGGAGTAATTTCCTATTGTATACACTGGCGCACAGGGGTTGGCTTTTAAAAGCGTAAAGTGCTCCTCGGTGTGGAGAATCGTTATTACTATTATCCTTAAGTATCCTCAAATTCGGTTTAAATTCGTAACACAGACATTTCAACCCTCATTTGTCCTTTATTTTCCTAACTTAATTTGTCCCTCCGTGTCAAATTGACACAGTGGTAAAAAAATAATACAATAAAAAGGTAAATAATTAAATTTGCAAATTCTTTAAAATAAAAATCATGGAGCCTCAGATAAATTGACCTACACGTGACTTAGTAACATCATTTCGTAGGACAACAATGTGTAAATTTGACACAAGAGACGAATTGGGGTCAACATTAAACGACAAGTAACCGGTTTTGCCGTTCTAATTCCTGCCTTTTTGAAGGATTCGGTATATTTACTATTAAAGTTCTTTTTCCTATGTTCCATTCATATCATAATCTCAACCAAGTACATCTAGGTAACACAGGAATCCCAAAAGGAAGTACACAGAGGTACAAATCGTCGAAATCGATTAGAATCCATCGAAAGATAGCATCGAAACGGCCGCAAGATATTTGAGGAAGGCAGTTTCACGGCGAGACATCCGCGACCGAGCGCGTAGGTAGAAAAGAAAGGGGGGCTGAGACGAAGCGGAATTTACATGCGAGAAGTGTAAATCATAACCCAAACAACGCTGCCAGCGGACCGCGTATTCCAGGCAGGGGCGAGGCCTTTAAAACTGATTCATTACCCCGACACGATCCATCCCTTCCTTTCTTTTTGCGGGCCCGGTTACGTCCGTGGCTGCTGCTGTTATCCCGCGAAAATGTTCCTTAATGGGAAATTATAGCGCGAATGGATGCGAGGGGCCGGGGGGAAGGCATTCTTGGGACGGGTAGTCACGTAGAAGGAAACGCTACGGATCCCACTGAGGTGAGATCGGAATAATAATCGCCTGTTCCCGCGACGATCGAGCTCCGAGTCACGCCTGCAACTATCTTTAAATCGCCACAGATTTCAAAATCGTTGAGTCTTGAAGAGAATACGATATAGCACGATCTTCTCGATGGTTGTACTCGGAAGAAAACCATTATTATTAGTCTATACTACGTATAATGGAAATGTACAACTCTAAGAAGAATTCCCATTGAAATATTGAAAGTAATGAGAGTGCATTTAAAGAGTACTTTAATATTGGTTATTTAACTTAGCATATCGCCATACCCACCGTATCTAGGGTTAGCTGTACAATAGTCGGGCTTTGTCTTGGTCTAATCCACAAGGAGAGGAGATGACGAGCAAGGCAAAGGGAACAGTATAATTAGGTCATTCGAATTGCGGTCCACAATTATCGATTTCTATCTTATTATACAAGCAAACGATGTTTTTAATTATTTTTACAATTTCTAGATGCTCTAGAAATCTCTTTTTAAGACAGGTTTTCAACTGACTTTTCTGTTTTTCGAGGTTTTCCTTGACATGGAATTCTTCCGTGAACGGAATAAATGATTCTCTCACAATGTCTGGTAAATATGATGAATGCTGTAAAAATTTTCTAATCGAATCAGCATAATGTTTCTCCATTTTTCATATGGTGCGTGACTCAAATATATTTCGTACTCATACTTTTTCCTTGTACAATATTTTCCCACCAACAACAATTCGACACATAAATCGCATAAGGCATGCCATAATGCATAATACA